CGTTTTCAAGAAAAGATTGAACAATCGTTTGTCTGGGCTTCAGTTAGATCTCCTGCCTTGAATTGGACTAGAAGACCTCCATGGCTTCTTCCAGCCCTATGATTCTGTGACTCTATTCTCTGTAATACTTGTATAGAAAAATAAATACTTATGAAAGATAATTGCAAGCAGGGGCCAGACAGGACCGATCAGATGGCATAGATGCCCAACGAGGAGGCACTGGGTATGAACGAAAACTACACGGAATAGACATTTGATCAAGCTCGATTTGATGAACTTCTCTCTTTCCTGCCCTACGTGAGAAATCAGGGAGAAAAATAGGAGAAATATCAATATGGCAGAGGAAAAAAGAAAGATCATTCCTTAAGAACTGTGGGGAGACAGAAATTACTCTACAATGATGCAAACAAGGGGGATGATGTTTCCTCCCCTAAACCTGCCCTGCACCATACTTATTCAAGGTCCAATTTATGGCTTAGTCCAGGGGTAGGCAACCTCAGCTCTTTTATGACTCGTGGACTTCAACTCCCAGAATTCCTGAGTCAGCTATGCTGACTCAGGAATTCTGGGAGTTGAAGTCCACGAGTCATAAAAGAGCCGAGGTTGCCTACCCCTGGCTTAAGTCCATTCACCAATCATGCCAACTTTTCCTTTTTCAAAATCCACTAAAACCTATACCTGCAACATTTTGCCAATTTTGCTTAGAAGAAATCCTATTATATACCCATTTGCGCCCCCATTTCCACTTCCACCACATAATCTGAGATAATGTCAAAGCATGACAGAAAACCTCCTTTCTCCGTTGCCCCATATTAAGCCTTCTAGAGCAAATCAGGAGAAACATACCTCGCCTGCAGATCCCCAGAGATAAAGCCTTTGCAGTTATCATCCTTATTCGAATAATGTTCTCCCATTATGTTTATCATCTTTTCAGAGCTAGATGAAGACCGTTTGAATCTCCCAGATACATTAACGATTGTACTTCTAGATCTTTGTACCTTCTTTTGGCCGGCACTTTGCCTTTGGTATCATGATTATCTTCAGTATTTTTATTCCATGTTGATTATATGCGTGATATTTTGAAGCTTCCAAGCAGCTTTTTCATTTGTGCAAAGATTTGCAACCACATTTAGATCTGCTTTGAGTATAAGATAAATGTGCTTTTTTTTCATTACTGGAAGGCAAGCATTGCGGCCGTTACGTGCCAAAAGCTTAGACAGCCTTGGGAATATGAAGTTATTTTACTGGAACTTCAATCTGAGGTTTATCAGAAAGTATTACAAATATAATGCATAAATGTTTAAGTGCTTTGGGGTAAACAAAGCAAGACTCCTGTTAACAGGCAGTCCTATTTCGCTTGCAGTATTTTCCCTTGAGAATGTACTGCATTTCCATTTAGATTTTTTTTTTTTCAAGAGCTCTGAGCAGCACACACCATTACCTATACATTAAGCACCACAATCGGTGAACTAAATTTCAAGAAGAAACTATGAGAAATCTGCTGCAAAAGAAAGAATACAAGGATTTCTCCGATCTGAATTGGAATTTGGCTAAAGTACTATTGTTTTTCTTACTTCTGTCCTGTAGCGAGTAGAGCCTATCCTGGGGAAAAGATGGAAGGTATATTTTATGCAAGCTTGGAAAATCTAAGAGATATAAAGAGTAATAAGTCCTTATTTTTTATTCTCCCTTTTTATCAGAGGGAGGTGCATCCCCTTTACATCTGATTCTATCGGAACCTCATGTAAGTGCTCCTGTACTAAATTACCGCTAGGGAAGGTGTACCTCAAGTCTCCTAGAATATAAAATACCTTTATAATTATTGCTTGGTTTTTATTCTGTTTTGAATGGTCAGCTGCAGTCATGTACATGAGATGGGCTGCTACATAAGTGTATTAAAGAGAGCAAACTAGTTAATAAAAAATTATACAATTAAATAATACTTTTTGTAATAAAACGGACATTAACAATACCTGATTTGGGGTGGGTGGGAATTTTGCAGTGATCAATTCCCAGAGGCCTTCAGTAAAGTTTTGCAAGCCATGAAAGGGAAAACTGCAATTGCCTTGGGGGGTGGGGGGGCAACTTGTTCCAAAGGAAGTTAGTCCTCCCAACACCAGGATTCCCTTTTCCATTAAATCTCACAATGGAAGTGGAGCCGGTGGTCCAGGTCAAATGGGCAAAAATACTGGGGAAACACAGTGTCTTAGACAGGCCCAAGTCACAAAGGGCTTTTAAGAAATGACTAATTAACTACAAAGTCTTGATTTAAACTACAAAAGCTTACAGATAAATAAGAAGTATTCCATTTATCTTCAGCTGGCTTAAATGATTATATCTGTCAGCAAATAGCAATGGATAAAGAAATCTGGTTATTTGCCCTAAAAAAGTTGTTTCTATTTGTATTTTTCTGTAAGGTTACAGGCAAAGTAACAGACTCCGCTGAAATGGCTGGGGTTCAAGACAAGATGGAAGACAGACATTTAGAGTTCTGATTCAATCACATCTGTGTCATCATGAGCCAGGAGTTCTAGGACAGCCCAGCCCTTTGATTAATTTTAGGACCAAATTATGTTTTGAGGTTTGAAATTAGTCAGAGCAAATAACAACATTCCTATTAGCCTGAACATATTAAGATAAGCTTAGCTCAGAAATATCAGAGTAAACTGAGTAATATGTAAGAAAACAACAAGCAATGGTAGAAATACTTTAGCCTGTATTTCTTATTAGATCATGATGATCTAGACAGGGGTAGGCAACCTTGGCTCTTTTATGACTGGTGGACTTCAACTCCCAGAATTCCTGAGCCAACCATGTTGAGGGGAAAGGGAGAGGTTTCCATGCTTAGCCATGCTGGCTCAGGAATTCTGGGAGTTGAAGTCCACGAGTCATAAAAGAGCCAAGGTTGCCTACCCCTGATCTAGGAAGAGAAAGTGGAGGACCATCAAGATGGACAAGAAACACTAGAGCCCATCGATTGCGCATCGATACAATTGTGGCGTGAATATTCTGACAAGGACTTCAAGGCCCGTTTTCTTTTTTTTAAAAAAATGAAGACTTTAAGGAAAGCCAAATAGAAAGGGATAAAACGAAAAATCCTCTTCTGCCTTGCTTACATAAATAGGCTGTGAATTGGACCAGGAGGAGGAACATTGTGAGTTCTTCACGTGGAGAAGAAAAAGCTCACTTTTGTCACTTGAGGTCCCAAGGTGCTTTTCAAAAGGCAGATGGAAAGCGAAACATTTTTAAATGTTTTGAAAAGCACCTTTGGAACGCTCGCTACCTGGACGATTCGAGAATCTCCCACAGACATTTGTCACTGAGGTGTAATCAAGGATTACACCAAGTGTAAATTCTCTCTTTTATGCCTTAGCTATTTTTCCCCGCTGACCCACAGCTCGGCCCTCTTTTAAGCATGTTCTCTCTGATCCAGTTCTGAAAGACATCCAAAGAGAATCAGACAATGAAATGGAAACAAGCCCTCACAGTGTGTACTCACAACTTCTTAAGTGAGGGCAGAGTCAATGGGGAAGTGTTTAGAATAATTTATCTTGTTAACTTAAGAGGAGTTCTGAGAAAAATAGAGGCATTATCACACGTAGAATAACAGGCGCATCATTTTTTTTACTGAAACAATTAACAAAGAACCATAGTGTGGTTCGTATTTTACGCCTAAAGAAATATTTATGACGAGTGGGAAATGGGAAAAACAACAACAAAGCAGTTAACTAGAAGTGCTACTACCCATTCTCTAATGTTCTACTGAACACGTGAGAGAGGAATAGGATCGTGCCTTTTAATGTTACCCATGTTTAATGTTAAAGGGGCCCTTGTATTCTCTACAGAGACCTTGTTTATTATTATTAAATGCACCATATTAAATAAATTGCTTAGTTGTATTAGTTTACACTATGTATATATGGGGGGCGGGGAGAAAGGAAAATTGGAAAACCACCGACATGTGATCTGAGCTTGCGTGGTTTAATTCTCTCTGTGCATCCAGTGAATATGTGGAATGGAAAGTATGCAAACCTTTTAGTGGTCTTTAACAGAACATAACAAAATAAATAAATGCAACAATGGATTTTAATGAGGAGCTGCTAGTTGCTATTGCTATGACTGGGAAATAATGTTAATTCAATGATGTGCAATTCCCATTTTTAAATAAAAATATAGATACTGTACAGATAAACAAAGTAGTTCACAGAAGAATATTCACAGAATAGTGGATGAGATACAAGAATCAGGACCGTACTTTATTTCCTTGCTTGAGGGCCATTAGTTTCCCCAAATATAAAAGAACCAACGATATTATCAAAGAATATAATTTGATTTGAAAGTAGATTGCAAGGATATGAAACTCATGTATAAAATAAGAAAATTAATTATTCCAGTAAATATAGGTAATATGGTCAACATAATTTCCCAAAAGACAGACAAATACCCATTGGAAAAGGAAACAGAAATAATAATCAAAGGTGAGATCTTTGATAAAACAGCTCTGAAATCCATTAATGTATATTACTTTCTTAATCCAATATTATAGATTTCTTGTTCTCATTTTATTTCCATACAGAAGTGCAGGGCACCTGTAGCATGCAAATAATCATATATTTATTTGAAGAGGCAATAAGGACTTCCAGGTACTTAAACCATGCCCTGCAAATTCACTAAGTATGAAATATTTTTTGATAACCGACTATGGAATTGCAGGTCTAAGAATTTTCCAGAGATAGTCCCTTGTTCCATAAATCAATATTACAATAGTTGTTGCACTTGCTGAAAATCCTAGGAAACATTTGGAAGAAAATTCTGTATTAAGTCTTGAGCCTTAATGGGTTGGTCAACTATCAATTTCACTGCCGCACTCACATGGTCAAGTTGCAGGAGCTGTGCAGGAGTCATTTTCTGGCATATGAATCACTTAGGCTGGCCAAAGATGCAGATTTCTATGAATGGGACTGAAAAAAGAAAGGGATGCTCCCAATTTCAAAACCTACCTTTACTCCATCTGACTTTTTGTTCAGTAAGCTCTTGGCAGCTGCAAATAGAATTGAGAAAAAAAGCAAGTGAACTACATTTTAATATTATTTTTCTTTTCCTTAAAGCAGGTCAACATCAGGAACCAAGCTAGATTCATTTTAGGCTCAAAACCATAACATCTGCATGAACAATAGCTTTACCAACATCCAAACCTTAGACCATAATCGTATTTTTTTCACAGGAACTGGACAAAACACAACTCTTCAGAACTCTTGAGACATTCATATCTTTGCTTTCATTATTTACTACCTCTGTCCCTTTCAGTAGCCAAAGCTATTATCAAAGAAGCAATGAAAACCAATTCTTAAATTGACATACAGAAGAATTATCCCTTAAATCAATGTTTCATATGACAAAATTTATTCTAGAAAGTCACAAAAAAACTTTGTTTTTTTTACATTTTAATGCCAAGTTGTCATTTGTTACATGCAGTGACTATTAAGGTATCTTGCACATAGACATGACAATAGGAAAATATGATATTCTCGTAAGAAATATTGCATGTGAAGTGGCTCATCCCTTACCTATAAAATGTAGAATAGAAAAAGTAAAAATTAAATCTGGGTATTTTAGTACAATGAAAAATCCAAGTTTCCACTAAAACCCCATGTAGGAAAACCATTAAGGAAAACATGATTGCTGCTAATCTGGGCAGAGGTCAGATTGGCAATTGACAAGAGGGAGAATTCAAACAGAAGCCACTTATCAGATGAAGGTTACATGTTTCATTTGGAGAAGAGCAAGTTACTAAGTTTTTCATATAACTACCTTGCAAAGGCAAAGACAGAATACACATAGAACCAGAACATGGATGCGTAACAGAGGGGCACCCAAAGAGCTTGACAGCACATGACCTATCCATGCCAATTACAATTTTCATATATGCTTTTCAAAACAAATTTTGTGTTGCAGCTCTTTGATTCATCAACACACTCAACACAGAGACATTTGCACACAAGTAAACTAGATCCTATAGTTTATACTACAGAAATCATATACCAGTGATGGCGAACCTTTTAGAGACCGAGTGGCCCACTGAGTTGGTGTGACTGTGGTGGTTATGGCAGACTGTGTGGGTGTGGCCAAGGTGGGCATGGTCACCTCGATGTTGCTCATGGGGAGGGGCGCCTGTGGGGACCAGGCAGGTTTGGGGAAGATCCAAGGAATCTCTGGCAGGTGAGGCAGTGGGCAGGAGGCTCGTCCTGCAGGGTGAGGCGAAGCGAGGCAGGGCAGGGGTGCCATTGCTGCAGGGCAAGGCGGGGCAGGGGCCGGGGCAGCTGCTTCCTGACACCACCGGCCCCCACACACAGAGGCCAGCGAGCGCATGGGGGCCGGCAGTGTCCGTCAGCAGCCACAGCCTGCCGGCCCCTCGACCGGCGCACTCTGGGGCTCCATAGCCCGCCACCAGCAGTTCAGAGAAGCCGCCTCTGAGCTGGACAGACGGCCGACAGCTGAGGAGGCGATGCAGTGGGTTGTGCCCGGGAAAAGGAGAGCATGCGAGGCCAGGAGGGATGGGACGGGGGGGAGGGAAACCAGCCATGCTGGGATGCATCCGGCCACATGGGACCTTGGCGAGTTAGCAGGCGGCTGGTTGAAGAGGGACGGTTGCCATCTCCGGGGCATGGCGCGCGTGCCCACAGAGAGGGCTCTGAGTGCCACCTCTGGCACACGTGCCATAGGTTCGCCACCACTGTCATATACTGTGATTGGCAGAGGATTTTAGGGTTTGGATAGTATAAATTAGTTGACTCAATCAATGCCCTTTGAAAACTGTTCACATCCACACAATGATGTAGCCATTTAATCAGGAACAGCCTATTTTGAATAGTGATATCTACGCTACCGTTACAAAAATTAGGAGACTTTGTCATCTAAAGACCATGCTTTATGTTTTTAAAAATAAAACCATTAATCCAGGTGCTTAAAAGTCCAAGAGTTTTGGTATTCTAATTTCCAGGGAAGATGTTCTAAGCTTCAAAACACCCAGAAATGGAACTTGGGCTTTGTTTCATGGAGACTGTTCTCTGAAATGACAACCAAAGTTTGGAGTTGTGAGTTCTATCCCAACACCTTCTTTAGAATATAAAGGCAGCATAAGAGCCTATTTTGCCCCTGGTGACACCCAAAGGTCTTTGTGGCTCTAGAATATTATTCTACACATTATTTGGTCTTCATCTTACAGTGAAGAATAAACCTTAAATGCTGGGCCAACACAGCATATATTTGGCCTTAAGCAAGCTAGCAGACGACTGAGGCATAATAAAAAGTTACATAAAAAAAAGTTAAGTATCACATGTATGTAATACAAAGTACAAGATTCACATTTATTTTGTAGCCCTACAACTTTTTGAAACCCAAGACCAGGCAGATTATGATACTAATGAGAAAAATATGTACAGAATACATTAGTTGGGTTTGGTTTCCTATTTACTAAATATGGAATCTTAAGGCCTCAGTCTGAAATTTTGTTAGATAACATATTTCTGTCCTGTGAGTCATTCAAAAGCAAACAAATTTAAATTTAAATTTTATTCATTTATACACTATCCATTTCCAAAGGCCCTGTGCAGCTAATTACCAAGATCAACTTAACATAAAAGGCAACTACTTCAAAAATAATAAACAAACCCACTCATAACATGAACAAAATTGACAATATCAATTACACCAACTCGTGTCCCTGCCAGGATCCAACTTGACTCACAGTAAGCTCTTCCCCTGTGCTTGATGGGCTGCTTTTAATTGTTTTTCTTTTCTTTTTTTTAGTGAGGCAAATTTTTAAAACATGCAAGTACAAGAATTCAAAGGGGAGAAATGGATATTCCTCCTCTTTTACATAACTCTGATGCACAAAAATATTTCACACGTGAAGAAGGCATGTTGGCTCATGTATGTTTTCATACCATGGGATAAAATTCAGGGGAGCAGAAAAGAGCTCTGAGAAATTAAGGCAAGATGTAACATAAAGGCACTGTTGCATTCAACCAACAGGAAACCGATTTATGTTTAAGTTTGTGTAATTAAACCCTAATCCATTCCAGGTCTGGAATTCCCATACTGTAGTTTTATTTGCAGCATAAGGGGAAGTATCAAAGTTATCTACAGGAGGTTTATTCTTACTCCATCTATTCCAGCTCTAATGTGATTATCTTATGGAAATGAAACACTACCTTATGCAGTTAATCACACTAAAAAATATAAGAAAGAATAAAAAGACTCCCTCTATGAAACTTTCAGACTTTGCCTTAGTTTTGCCTCCATTAGACGTGATGTCATTGTGTAATTGAGACAACAGAGTGGCCAATGAAAACCAATCCCACCTGGATATAGTTTGTATAGCTTACAAATATCTCACATAGCAAGAGTTACTGAGAAATGCAATGTTCTTTACTGCATTTGATGTAATTACAGTGGGAGAATAGGCCTTCTGAAATAAAATTCAAAGCTGGTTTCGTAGAAGCCTAATGTTGGCCTTTTCCTGCCAAAGTAATCAGGATCACGGTGTACTTACTCCTGTCAGGCAGTTTCCCTCTGGCCCTGTCAAAAGTTAAGGTATTGCTCTAGATCAGGCATGTCAAAACGGCGACGTCGCGCAACATATCAGGCCTTTTTCGCCATTGCCGGCAATGGGGTGGGCGCGGCTTCCACGTGACACATCTGGCCTGCGGACCGGCAGTTTGACACCCCTGCTCTAGATCCCCTGATGCTACCCCAAGATTAAATTAAGACCAATTAAGCTATAAGCATTTGGAAGGAGGCCAGAAATAGGTTATGTGGTCAAATCTATGTTAAGGTATCTGGAAATCTAACATAGATATTATGGGAATAGGAAATCTGCATTTATAATATAGAGTGCAGACACTGAGAGGAGGATTAATGGAAGTTTTCCATTCACCTCCTGTTAGTGTAAAAAGTTGATATAGTAGAATGAAAGCCCCCAAGGAGCTTGCTACTGAAAGCACAACAGGTCTTGAAATTCACCCATATTTTGGTCTCGTAAATGGTCTGTAGTCCTTTGCCTCCACACACAGAAGCTGCATAATTCCTCCTCAACCTTTGCACACACAGCAGACTGGGAAAGGCTATACATTGATCTACAAAACAGTTCCCCACCCAAAAAGAGCAGACAAAAATACATTTTGCACGAAGCTTGGACTTTTAGATAACACGCGGTTATCCAAAAGATGAAACTTGGATTCCTACAATTAAGCACCACACAAGAGCACAAAACTTCCTGGGAGTACTTAGAAGACAAAACGCACAGAGAATGCTATACTCAGCACAAGACAACAACAGATGAGTTGCAAAGAGCTTTTCCAGAGAAAGTAGGATTCTATCTATAGCTACACTCTGCAGTTTCTCAGTATGGGAACATACCACCATCCTGTTCTAACCTACATCTTACCTGTAAACATGTGTGTTTTGAGAAGCCTTTGGAAATATTGAAAAGCCTACTCACAAATTTCATTGTGCAATTATATCCTGCCTTTGATATTGGACAGGGGAATCCAATCCTTTTTGAACCAAATTGTATACAGTCTTTGAATAGCAAAGATAATGGATCACACAAAACAAAGCTGCATGTAAGTTTTACAGAAATTATGTGTGGCCTAGGAGAAGGCAAGGGTGAGAAAGAAATTTGGTGAAACTTAAAATGGTTGCTTGAATCTGACTTTTCCTTAGTTATTGTTGTTAGTTGCGAAGTTGTGTCCGACCCATCACGACCCCATGGACAACGTTCCTCCAGGCCTTCCTGTCCTCTACCATCTTCTGGAGTCCATTTAAGCTCACGCCTACTGCTTCAGTGACTCCATCCAGCCACCTCATTCTCTGTCGTCCCCTTCTTCTATTGCCCTCAATCTTTCCCAGCATTAGGCCCTTCTCCAGTGAGTCCTTCCTTCTCGAATCCACCGGTTTCATGAACTCAAAGTTGAAGTCCTAGACCGGAAGATTTCTCATCAGTCCCAACTAGAGGAGATCCTGACTGGCCAGACTAGTGGAACGTCAGGTCCCCTGAGCGTCCTCAGAAGAGGTTGTGGTATCAAGTTTCCGGAGTTAAGAAACCGTGAGTCGGAAAGAATACCAGGTTGAAAGTGTCGGTATCATTGCAACTGGGAAAACCATGGCCTTGACTATACTCCTTAGTTATTATTCCATCTTTATTTTAGTTTTCTGTTTTTAGTACTGGCCTAAATGACTCATAACCTGCACTGTGATTTCTAAATGGAAATGAACTTGCATCTTGACTCACAATCAAAACTGGGACTGGAAGTCCAGTTGTAAGTTGTTACAGTCATTAGTTGAAGCACCCACATGATCTGAAGTAATTTTCTGACCTTTTTTGCAGTGCTCATTAAGCGAATGTGGCAGTTGTTATCAAATGCAGTGGTTAATAATCAAACATTGGTCATTAAATGGACCCATTTATTTGAATGGCTGGGTTTTTTTTTTGCCAGAAACCAGCAAAAAAAACACCAAAGCAAATTGAAATCATGTGAGTATGGAATACTGTGATGGGTCGTGAAGCTGATATGCAGTCATGTGACTACGGGGGAGGGAGAAACGATATAAGATAGTCACAGGTGCTTTCTGTGGCCATCATAACTTCAGATGGTTGTAAAATGATTGGTTGTAAGTTGAGGACTATCTATATATCTAAAAAAAGTCAGTGGCCATAATGAATTTGGAAGCATTCTAATTGTAAAGCCTAGCTGAAGCTTAAATGTGAATTTACCTTTGAAGGACAGATTCTGACTATGTAGTAGACTTACAACTACTGTCTTCCTTCTTAAAGAGAAAAAAAAAGTTCTATTCTGCGGTAGAGGTCCTTTCCTAAAATGATATATCAACATTCACTGAGAGTAATTTCTACGTTCCCAATAGTATGTGTTACTGAAATGCTTTTTACACACATTTCTTCCTATGATTAGTCTAAACGATTTAAATAATTGATTGCAAATATGTTTATCTATTTTATTTATCCAGATTTGTAGATATCAAAACCAGTCCTGGAGAATTTTGTTTGAAGCAAGTGGGATCATCTCTTCATTAGCATTTAAATATTTCATACGTAGTCCTTAGAGGGCCTTTAAACCTCTCCATAATCCCTGTTTAATTGATGAGAAATTACCGCACCAATTAGTCCAGGTCTTTACATCAAAGGCAGACAACAGGGATTCTGCTACTTTTCAAGGAAAAGAAAAATCCCTTGAAAGAAAAGCTAGTAGCCTGGAAAATAAGTGTTCCTGTTTCCTCCATTCACTGGGCTCTCCTGCTGGAGAAGATTCCTGTGAGTCCCTTGGACTGCAAGGTGATCAAACCAGTCAGTCCTAGAGAGATCAACCCTGACTGCTCTTTAGAAGGCCAGATCCTGAAATTGAAACTCAAGTACTTTGGCCACCTAATGAGAAGGAAGGACTCACCGGAGAAGAGACTAATGCTGGGAAAGATCGAGGGCAATAGAAGAAGGGGACGACAGAGAATGAGGTGGCTGGATGGAGTCATTGAAGCAGTAGGCATGAGCTTAAATGGACTCCAGAAGATGGTCGAGGACAGGAAGGCCTGGAGGAACGTTGTCCATGGGGTCGCGATGGGTCGGACACGACTTCGCAACTAACAACAACATGTATCTAATCACAGGTTTCAAACGTGGCACAAAAGTGAAGAGATGCTACTTTGGCTTCACGCAATTTCCCCCCAGTCTAGTTTTGATATCAAAAGTTAATTAGGCTGGAAAAGAAAGTGCTCAGTGTGGAGGAGAGCTTCATCTCACATCAATCTATACATTCCATTTCATTTTAAAAATTCCATTTCTGGTAAAAAAAAAAAAGTTTGCTTCTAGCCACATAAATCGTAGAGGCCTGCTCACTCACACATCTAATGTGGTTGGATAAAAGCGCACTTTTCATTTATACATAGACTCATTTTAATGCAATGGATACAGTGTGATTGCATTTTGAACTAATGTGGCTTTTAAAGAATAATCCAGTAATTGGTGTACATCTGATAAGATAAAGCTCTTTCTCCGACTAGAAGCTTAATTTTGAAGATTGCAACACTAATTCTGAGAACCTATCGGCAACTCTAGTGACTGCTTTTGATGGTACACCAAGCCTGGTTTTTCGTTCCTGCTAAACCAAACCCTACTCCTAACAGTCTGTGACAGGGAAATTAGATCAGAATACATCCAAAATCTGCAACATATATTCAAATATATTGCATGAATTCATATGTACTGCATGAAATGTCATACATGGAGGTGCACCCAGATAGAACCATGCAGATTAAGTTAATAAGTAGGAAGAAGATAAAACTGAGAGCTGAGAGGGTCCTTATTCCATCCTCTATTCTAAGGGGCCTCATCTGATACGCAAAGGGATCGTGGGAAATCTTGTGCGCATTCAGTAGTTCTAGGAACACATCTTCAGGGTTCCCACACCTGTAGGTCCATAAAGAAATCCTAGGGTTTCTCAGCTCTGGGTCTAAAGTCAATAGAAAACTACTCTGAAACGTGTCAAAGGAGCACCCCACATTATATGCTTCCCATTCAAGCAACATTCTGGCTGTGGACCTATTTATTTGTCCCTGAACTAATTACTTTTGCTTAGCTGAAGAGGAATTAGCAACAGGAAATCACCTGGCCTTTGAAGCTTTTTCCGAATTTGAGATTAATGCTTCTACCAGCACACTATATTTTTTCCTGCTTGGGGGGATTTAACAGAGGACAACAGATATTTTCCATTCTTAAACGATAATAATTTTGGAAGCACAAGAGCAATGTTCTTTATTGGATAAAAAAAAAAAAAGTTAAGTGTCTTTGCCAGTACAAGAAACCTCATCCCACTGCTTTTTATCCTTTGTTCCCCAAATTTAAACCTGCACCGTCAAATATAATTGCAAACATAATGCGCAATACTGAATGCTACGGTGTGTCATTGCTTATCACCAATCCATGTGGAAAAAATAGCAGGCTAATCTTACGCTACCCTCCTGTGAAATGGTAAATGTTGTTTAAAAACAAAATTCAGAATTTGCTAACAGGTTGATATCCTCGTTAAGACATTCATGGTTGTAGGAGCCATGTCAACTTTCTGAATGTACTGACACTATGACAATCCCTGTCTCCAAATGTCATGTCAATTCACAGCAAAACAGGGTTAGCTACCCAACATGCATTTGTTAGTAGGTTCAAACTCAATGTACTTATGATTCTTGGTTAGATGGATACCTTAGTGCATGCCCTTTTCTCAGCCAGCAAGCATGGATGGTGTGTCTCACTGGGTGCACAAGTACTATTATCATGCTGGTTTTTACTGGCAGTGGAATTGATCAAGGGTGGGCAAGTGTGTGTGATTTCTAAGATCAGGCACTCAGGAGATACGACTCATGCCACATACCTTGCTCAGCCAGGCCGGCAGCACTCATGGCGGCCGAAGCGGGGGCGGAGCTCTGCCTGCCAACTGATTGGACACAATCATTCAGTGGGAGGAGTCATAATAAAGCAATAAAGGCCCATTAGCATGGCGCAAGTAAATTAGTTTAAAAAGAAATGTGGGGGGAAAAAGAAGAAAGGAGAAAAGGGGGAAACACAATATTATGAAAAAGATAATATTATTCCCTTTTAAATATGACAATAAAACCACAGGAGCCGGCCCAAAGGGTTTGGACGTCAGGAAGTTGAGAAAGCTGCAGATTTTAGATGTAAAACAGACTTTCAGTTATAGAGTTTTATGTCAACAAAATCAAAGTCGAAAGTATTAGCGGTAAGACAGAAGACTAGAACGCCTACTTTAACATCACAGAAGGGACTGGATGATGCTATGGACACCAGTTGCAACAGGTCGTGTTATTATATTAAAAAAAATTAAGAGAAATAAAGGCAAATGTACGTTAGAATGATCAGTCAACCAGTTGGCTTGATTTATGAACAGCACTGTATATTAAGTGAAGAAACATTAATAAGAAAATCAGTATTCGTTAAGAAGAATGAAGTGCTGACCTGCGTTGGAACTAGTTTATTAAAGTGCTTTTAACTCTTTGCTCTCTAGAAAAATACAGATATTTAGCTCAGGATTTTTTATTATCCTCCAGACCGAAAAGCACTCGTAGAAGTTCAAAAGTTTCTGATGATCATTGATCCAGAACTGTAATTATCAGGTAAATAGCAAATAAAGTCTGCAATTTGTTAACGTATTCAGAAGGTTTCAAAGCCAAAGAGGAAAATGTGTAATTTTACCTCACCGGTTAGAAAAAATACAGAGTAATGGAAATATGTCAGTATTTTAGTAATGCTACAGAACCGCTAAACTGAAATAATAATAAAAATATAATAAAGCACAGCATTTCAAAGTAGCATGGAAGGTGGAAAACTAATTGCTTTGAAAAAAAGGAGAGGATTATATGTTTGTTTGTTTTTTAACGGGAGCTGTTGCATTTTCAAAGAAATGCAGCCGGCCGACAGCAAACCTCTTTTAGCAGTTTACGGCTACTTTCTTCTCTAATCCAAGTGAAAGCAGAGATCAATAGGCAGGCTATTGTATTACACTGAATTGTTCATTTCAAGAAGTAAGGCACTTCACTTGTGTTTGCCCCTTTCCAAAGCTGTGTACCATTGATAATGTAACGTAAGGAGAAAACAGAGGGTTGAGGCTGCCTCAAGGCCATCTGATGGGTTTATCACTGAGCTGAGATTTAAATGGGAGATCTGACACTCATAGTTCATATTTATTATTTATTTTTATTTTTTGGATTTATATCCCGCCCTTCTCCGCATCCTGAGTCCCGCCGACTGTTAGATAAATTTTATGTATGTTTTGTTATGTTTAAATTTTAATTAATTTTCCTTATAAATTTATAAACAGCTTAAAATTTTATATTAATTTTGGGGGGATTTTTAATGGGATCCGGTCAGGACGTTCGACCTTATACCAAGTCTTGAGGGCGCGGCGAAAGGAAGGGAGATCAGGGACAACCCTGATCTCTGGGGGCAGTTCATTCCAGAGGGTGGGAGCTCCCACAGAGAAGGCCCTCCCCCTTGGGGTCGCCAGCCGGCACTGTCTGGCTGATGGCACCCTGAGGAGACCCACTCTATGGGAGCGTACCGGTCGATGGGAGGTACTCTGCGGCAGGAGGCGGTCTCGAAGATATCCGGGTCCGATGCCATATTATGGACTATACCAGTTTCCCTCTGAAGTCCTTCAAACAATGAAGGGACAAAAAAGGAAGAGATATATTGAAAATGCCATTTTCAAGAAATGAAGACTGATCATCCCTGAAAATATCTTTCTCTCTCTTTCCCTTTCTCGGCATATTCAAAAGATTATGAACTTTACTAATTCAAACCATCTTCTTTCCTGACAAGCACTGGTTATACATTTGAAAATGCTGTCTGTTATCCTACTTAGGCAGAAGGGCATACAAAGTCAGCCACAGTCTTACTGGCAGCCCTACTTGAAAGATCATCTCTTCAAGGCTGTGCGTAGGGGGGCTTTGCACACAACCATTTATGTACCAGTTCCTGGACTGGGGGGCTCTACTTCACAGCCACGTAATCACTTCTCATCTGGAATCCTTCAACATGCCCTAAATGGAGTTGCTCTTGGGAAGCCTCCGAATGCAACCATGCATGTAGTATTGGGCACACCAAGATTCGTCCATGTTAACATCTGCTGCACAAGCTGTACAGGCTCCCACTATGTTTCTGGGTCCAGCTCAAGTTGCTGCTTGTCCCCTTTAAATTCCTACATGGCGAAGGCCCAGTTACTTGCAGGGCTGCCTTCTCCAATTTCTCCTGCCTATTCCACTAGATTCAATGAAACAGTGGCATCCTGCAACACCTAAATGTGCTTTGTCTGCTGTGGCACTTACCCTGTGGAATAGCCTCCCCTGAAGATCTAGATTACCTTGAACTGCTGGTCTGTAAAAACCTGACATTTCCCTCAGGCATTCAAGCTGGATTGTTACTGAAGCCCAATACAGGTAAATCTGTGAGTGAAGAAAATGTGTAAACTGCCTCAGCTTTTATACTGTGTGTTTACTATGTTTGTTTTATTTGTTATGCTATGTTTATTTGTATTTATTATGTTTTCATTAGATATTTTATGCTGTTTTTTGTGAGGCTCCCAGATTTATTTGCTTAAGATGAGCAGCCGTGTAAATTTCCTAAATATATATGTATTTTGGAGTGGACTCCAAAAAGACTTCACTGCACTGAATAGGGAAATATTTTATCAAGACCAGATTCCCTGTAGAAAAAATTCCAACATTGTCAGGGATAGAGCAATGAATATATCCAAATCCAAATGTATCCTCCCTGAAATACGAAACAAGCCATCCACTTTTCATACCCCAGACATAATTTTCAGTGGCATGGAAGCTTGTACATGTGGCCCAAAAACAACGGGTTTAATTTCAACAGATTAAAAAATACACATCTGTGACCCATTTCTTTAAAACGGAACGTGGTCTTTGATGCCCACTGACGGTTCAGGGTGCCCTACTGGAAAAAGCCACATCCACATAACCAGAGGTTTGCACAGCTCATAATTAGAAGGAAATGATACCCCAAATTTTCCAGTTCTTTAACCAACTTTAGATGAAGCAAGGTTGGAGTATGGAGGGGTAAAGTAAATACGTTTAGGACGAATAAAAGGGTAAAGATTTCCCGTCCAGTTGTTTCCAACTCTAGGGGACGGTGCTCACCTCCGTTTCTTGGCGGAGGGAGGAACTGTTGTCCCCGCACATTTCTGAGGTCATATGGCCAGCATGACTATACACTACGGCGCCCGGAACACTGTTACCTTCCCACCGAAGTGGTGCCAATGTATTTATTCGCATTTGCGTGCTACCAACTGCTAGGTTGACAGGAGCTGGGGCAAATAATGGGAGCTCATCTGTCGCATGGCGCTTGAGTCTTGAACCCGGACTATCAGCTTACCAGCTGACAAACTCAGCATCTTTAATTGCTGAGCCACTGCTCCTCCCCCCCCCTTATGACAAATACCACTACGATGAAAAGGCAATGTAGCATTGAAGAACAGGCTATAGTAAATTATAAGCATATTTAATGTACAAAAATTATTATTGTTCTGGTTGGGACATAATATAGCCAATAGTATCTGCATGGACCTGGAATTTGTTTACTGTCCAAAACAAAGAAAGACATTCTTCTAAGCAGTTTCCTTTATTTATCCCCCCACCTTTAGGCAGTAATCTTGCCAAACTAGAGCAGGCTACTTGCACCATAAAACATATATTTTGGAAACTGTTACGGAGGAGCTGTCTGGACCCTTTTTCTCCCAAGCTATCTGAATTATGCTGTCTCTTACTACACTGGAATAAAGCCTTCTTTTTCCTGGGAATCTGGACGACATTCCATCACTTCTGCAATGTCCATTATCCCCAATTAGTTAGAATCTCATCTTATGATTTTGAAGCTTCTTATTGGTAAACCGGGCAATTGTGACATTTTCTAACCATCTTGCTCATATCAGACTCTTTATTTTGCATGAAAACAGTCAACAATTAAATTGGAGCTCCATAACAGTTTGAATTCAGGGGATATGTATAGATTTTCAACCTACGGAGTCACCTGGCCATCATTGTTCAGTCTTGGAAGAAGGCAATGACAAACCACTTCTGCACTGCTGCTTAGAAAGCTACATAGCTACGTCAATGAAGTCACCATGAGTCAAGTTCAACTAGAGGGCAGCTTTATCTGTTTATGATATACAGCATGAATTCTATACAGCATCATAATCATATTAGGCCTCCCTGAATGAATTTACATGCACACATTTGCAAAAACATCACACAATTCTATCTTACCTTTTAAGAACACCCTTATGATATTCTATATTTGGTTCCTCATACTATACAGCAACGATAGGCACCATTTTTGGGGTAAAGAGTGTATTTCAAGATATTGTTTTCTGGCTGTGAGGATGGTACCTCTGCAATTACAAGTTTATATGAGAATGGGCAGAATTAAAATATTTCATCCTTAAATGTTCACAATTAAAAGCTAGGTTTCACACCCTCATTTCATTTTATTTTTTTAGTCGTAAAAAATCATGCCACTGAAAATTTTGCTTCTGTTTTTAGTATGATACCATCTGGGTGTGGGAAGGCAATCTGAGAACTGCTAAGATGGAAACAGCAATGACTTCCCTTTCTGTTCTATCATGCTCTGCGTACCGTGAGAAGTTAGAACCATCTCAGGCAAGTACATGGAAGGCATTGTTATTAATTAAGATCAAAAGCTATTTTCGGCACAGCAGCTTTACTGTAAGTGCCTCAGACACTTTCTTCCACAGAGCTAATGTTTCTAAATTCTAAATTATTTTTTGTTGCTTTTTAAAAAAAAATGAAATAAAAGCATAAAAATTAACATTTATTTAAAAGCCTTATTTATTACTTTGCAGTATTATACATACTAAGTAGCTTATCCATCCATCCATCC